GAGTAATCACGAGGTTTATTGAAAAACCGACCCTCTGGAAATCTCTCAGAACCCTTCAGAATTCCATTATCCTTGTGAGGCACCGCATCTGAATGCGCACCGATTTCTGAGCAAAATAAGACATTTTCGAGCTTCCCAGCGTCTTTCTAGGCCGAGTTATTGGCAAATCTCTTAAAGGATTTCGAGTCAGCCGGATCTCTGAAAGTAAAATCCTTATCTGAGCCTAGAGATGTCCTAGAAGGCTCGAGGACTTCTCATTTTGCTCAGAATTTGACGCTCTATCGATACGATGTGTTTGGGACGAAAACGATTTCCAAAAGGCTCTTGAAGATTGCCCCAGAATGCTTGTTCTCTAATAGCGCATTTTTTATGATACTAGTAATAGTCCAAAAACTATGATAAATGCTGTCCTGCTGAGAAAAGCGAAAACTTTATACCAATTTACTCTTCTTTTTCTTGCTTATGGGAAAAAAAGTAATATGTTGACATAACGTATCACCTCATAAATATAAAATGAGTGACGAAGTTGATGTTTGAAATATGACATATAGTATTTGTCTGAAGTGTGTCAATATATCACTCACTTTTGATAATAAGCAAGAAAAGCTAAATCTTCTGTTTTGTCCCGAAGTTATCATCCAAAAAATATAGAAATTTCTTATAGAAAGAATGTGTTCTCTACTGATAACATTCTAAGTGCTTTATATAAAACGAAGAATAATTGCACCCGCACACATCTCCATAAATGGAAAATGCTTAAAACTTACTTAAATACATCCATGTTGCAATAAAAACAAGAGCGTAACGGGTGCGGCAGAAGAGATGGCTCTCTCTGCATCTTCAATATAACTTTTCTGTATCGTATAAACTTCAATTTCTTTCTAAAAGTTGAATCTTCTACATAAAGCATGTCGTGTGTTTGTTTCTCATGTTACCAAGAAAAAGTTATTGCGGCAAATATTGCAAAGCTTCAACTTAGATCGCTCGTAACTTCTTTTACATTTGTCCCGTTTTCCAACATCAGTTCATTGGATAATACAAAGATTCAAGTCCCATTCATTTCCATCAGAAAGTTACTTTAACTGGAAGATGCTTTTTCCGCATTTTGTAGAGCACAGTCTAAAGTACACATTCTGAAATTTATCAGTTCTCAGACAAGCAGTTTTCAGAAAAATATTTTGAAGCCTTTTCTAGAATTTTAGTTCGAGTTCTGAAAGTTATGTAAAATCTTCATATTTCTATATGAAAACGATTTGATGTGTCATCACATAGAGGACATCGTGTTGTATACAGGAAAAAGTTTTCATCGTTCTTGAATGCAGTTGAACGGAGAAATTTCGCTTTAATCGTTCAATGAAATTTAGTGCTAAAGTATTTAAAGAAAACTTTCCGCGGGGGTCTCTCGAAAACGAAACATTTTGGACTTAAACTTGTTTCGAATGTCATTTTCTATGGAAAAGGATTTTGCTGCTCGAAACTCCTCAAGCTCGGATAGAAAGCACAATTAAAAGTTTTCAATTTTATAAATTTTTGTTTGAAAATCAAGTTTTCTTTTGAGAGACTGCGAGTGAATTAATGCAAAATGTCTTCTCTCGGTCGAAAAGTCAACAAATTTTTTAATTTTAAATTTTAAATTTTGTTTTTTTGCGCTTTTGTCAAAATATTGTTTAGATAGATAAGATAGATAAGATTTTAATTTTGACTTACCAGGCGTATCAAGCAGCCAAAAATGAAGTCTGTAACTCTAACGTAGTCTGCGTTGCAGCCCGTCAAGTTTTCTATTAGAGATAAGGTATTACTAACATTTTTTCATTGATTCGTTATTTTGCAAATGAGACTGTAAGCGAGTAGAGTGTGTTAAACCAGCGTCAATTACCACTAAGTCAATAAGAGGACGGAAAGACCAAAAGTTGTCACATATTTTCTTATAATAAATATTTTCCACACATTACTTCGTCGATCCAAGCAAGAACAAGTGTACATGATGCATGGAAAGCGGAACAGAGCTTTTGAGTAATAGTCCTGTAAAATTTAACACATTCTTCAAGTAATTAATTTGTTCTCAGTCAAATAATTCCAGTAGATCGAAAATACTCCCCGGACATGTGATGTATCAGCAGAGCTATAATTATTTAAGATGAAAAGAATGAATAATATCTACGTACTTTAAGACGATGGAGCTAACTATTATTTAGTCGATTATTGAAAAGAAATGAGTTAATATTTTTAAAAGAAAATCTCATTTACTCTTCCATCAGAGTATTACAATGAAACTTTGAAGGTGACATCTTCCAGCATGTTAAGCTGTTATTAAAACAAAGGACGATATGAGCTACTCATAATTATGAACATTCTCCCTCATGTTATGCGCCACAGAGCTTGAGAAAGTCTTGAAAATGACGAAAAGTTCGTCAATGTTTAAAGTTCAGAATACCAAACAATATAAATTAAGATCAGAAATATCAATTGATTAATACACTTTCCCAAAAGAATTTTTGAGGAGCAATTATAACAAATCCATCCTTCCCATGTAAATCAATTGCGTCTGAAAATGAGCGCCTAAGAAAAATCTTCACGGCGCGTTGTACCCTGGCGCGGGTTTTTCAGAGAAAGTTGCCAGATGCGTCTAAACCAGTCTAAAAGCGCGTTACAAAGCGAAATTTCCAAAACGCCTCTGAACGCGTTGTTCGTAGAAACGCATTTGATGAGATACTGTACAAGAAAAATGTCTCTGGTGCGTTTACACATCACATTTAAATTGCTTGCATTCATAATCAAAAGTTAAAGACTTGAAACACCTGCACTACATCATTAACAGTTTTTCTTCTGGGACGTATGAACAATAAAAAGCACACTCTTTCTTCACTGATAGGATTCAAGGATTCTAGGAACCTAGGATTCAACATTAAAACGTACACTCTTTTTTCATTGCTAGCATTCAAGGATTCTTGCATACCAGCATTCAAGGATTCTTGCATACCAGCATTCAAGGATTCTTGCATACCAGCATTCAAGGATTCAAGAAGTCCAGGATTCCAGATTAAACAGTACGCTCCTTTTCCACTGTTAGGATTCAAGGACTCTTGCATTCTAGCATTCAGGGATTCCAGATTAAAAAGCACACTCTTTCTTCATTCCTAGGATTCAAGACTAAAAACTACACTCTTCTTTCATCGCTAGGATCCTAGGATTGTGCGACTCTAGCATTCTAGGATTCCAGGATTTTAGATTAAAAAGTACAGTCTATTTTCATTGATAGGATTCAAGGATTCTAGGATTCCAGATCAAAAGGTACACTCTTTCGTCATTACAGGATTTTAGATAAAAAAGTACAGTCTTTTCACACTGCTACGATTCAACAAATTCTAGGATTCTAGATAAAAAAGTACACTCTCTTTTCACTCCTAGGATTCTACCATTCCAGAATTCCAGGATTACACGCTTCTAGTATTCTAGGATTCAACGTTAAACAGTACGCTCTTTTTCCAATGTTAGGATTCAAGGACTCTTGCATTCTAGCATTCAAGGATTCTAGAACTAACCCATCGAAGTTTTAAAAGCACACTCTTTCTTCATTGCTAGGATTCAAGACTAAAAAGTACACTCTTCTTTCATTGGGGTTGACGGAAAACATCGAAAGGAAAAATGTCGAAAAGGAAAATGTCGATAAAAAAAGAGCAAAACGTCAAAGAGGAAAATGTAGAAGAGCAAAATGCCGAAAAGGCAAACGTCGAAAGCGGATAACGGAGGAAGGAAAATATCGAAAGGAAAACGCCGAAAAGGAGGAGATTTCTTTCTGTTCCTTGAAAATCACTGAATGAGATATTTTATTAAATTACTTAGAGAAAGAGAGTAGAACAGAAATGATAGGGCCAATAAATCGTGAACTAACCTTTCGTTTATCCTGATCAAGAACAATAATCGAGGGTGAGGGTGAGGCGTCCATCTTAGCAGCCATACTGAACTTCATCATACTTTACTTTTTCGACCAGTGGCTATAAATCGAATAATGTAAACAAAACGGCAAAAGAAATTTTTACTTGAAGTTTGAATTGCCTGCACCTTATGTACTGTGAAAGTTAGATAATCTACTAGCGATAGAACTTATTTTTCAAAGTAGCCGAAGTGCACAGATATTTGTCTTTTCATGCACCTGGGATCTGGGATTTCTTGAGGGTTCATATTTGGCTTCTAATATAGAAGGGCTAGTTTCTGTCCTTTAACAGCTGCTACGTTGCCTAATTTGATACATTTCGATAAACTAGCGACATACAATGCGTCGGCGACCTGATGATTGACCCATCGTTTAACGGAAAACTTTAAGGCCTTAGACACAGTAAAGTGTATCAGTCAGCGGTATCAACAAAATTTGATTGAATTGTTTTAAATGTGTCACAGTTGAAACCAACAGTTTAACACTTTGTTTCAACATCACAGGCATTCTGTCTAAAAATGTAAAAGGAAATGACTGGATAATGGTTATATATGAATGCCAGATATTTATACCTCTTGCGGATTTTCGTCTTTGATCAAGAAAAATAACAAGTAATAGTATTCCACATGCACTGATAACGATATAAATAGTACACAGTATATTTATCTAAGAAATGTTCGTCTTCAGACTAATTATCGTATACAGAAATTGAATTGTGGTGCTTACCGTTTGTCGACTAATCTGATTAACAACTTCAACGTCATTATCGTGTACACTAAATTCAGCTCCACATTTGTCGTACTTCGAATTACTGCTAATATCTGTTGCATTTTCGTTAACTAATTCTATGGGTTTCAATACGAGAAAGGAGATTAAGTTGCCCCATATCTGTCCTGAAAAATAAAAAGAAATACTATATTATAGAAGTAGATAAGCATGAAAGATTTTTATACCTGATTGATAAAACATGAAGAATATGCTAAAAAACCGATTAACGATAAGATCCCTATCAGACTTGGTTGATTTTGCATAAGCTGTGCCTGCATCCGTAATATATGAACTCGCTGACTTCCATACTACAGGGTTACCGAGTCCAAAGAACACTGAAGCTAAAAAACAGTCATATTTGTTAGTGATTTCATTTTTACAAAGATTAACTGTTTTAAATTTCTCCACTTTTGTGTTGTCTGTCAAAATAGAATGCCAATGATGGTTTTTGAATATCAGTTTTTCTTAGAGACAAGATTAAAAACTTATATGTTCAGCATTCTGTTGAAGAGCGGAGAAATTTGATGACAATGTCGAGCATTATCCACAAGAATTAGGTGTGGAGAGGTTTTTGGTTAAGAGCGGCTACATTTGAATATGTAACATTAGTTGAATTAAAGGGCAGTAAGGAGAAAATAAATTTTAGTACATTTGCGCCTACAACTATCTTATTCAAGATAAGAGAATGTAGTCAATTATAAGTGCTTTTATTTTAAATTTTCATTTCACCTATTTATGCGGTCATTTTCAAGTGTAAAAAGTTGTACCGAATGTTACATTCAAGTCAGAAACAAAGTTAGTATACATATATATGATTTCATCTTATTCTCTCTCCTATTTCCTTTGAGCATAAAATAAAAACCGATCTTTGATGATTCATCTTAGAATCCAAGATGGAGAGATTTCGATCTGTCAGCCATGTGAAGGACATAGGGTTACCTCTATGAGAAGGCTTTTACAGCTGAGGTCCAAGTTCTGGCCGAGTTCAATGAAATTGATATCCCCCTCTAGCGAAAAGCCAATAGCTGTGAATTTCCAGAACTTGGGCCTCAGCTGTAAAAGCCTTCTCATTGAGGTAACTCTATGTCCTTCACACGGCTGACAGATCGAAATCTCTCCATCTTAGATTCTAAGGCGAATCGTCAAAGACTGATTTCTCAAAGATTCACTCTAAAAGACCATATGTGCCCAAGCGAATATCAGATTTATGATCAGCATCAAAAATTATCTATAACTGTGGATATTTCGAGGAAAAAGCCTTGATACCTTTAATGAACTCTTTAAGATATGCATGTAAACAGAAGGGAAACAATTGCCAAATGTCACAGTAAGACAGTATAATAATGGAAGTTATTAAAGTTGAAAGGTGTCAACTGCACTGTGTTACGATTCAATACTCTAGCCAATCCGAAATGGTATAGTTAAAGTGATTTAAGAAGTTTACATTGCTCAAATTATCTTTATTATATATAAAGGGTATCCACTAGGTTTTGATTCTCTCGGTAAATTGACGTGATCTATATGAAATACATATAATCAAATTCAACTGATTTTTGGAAAAGGTCCAGTATTTAAGGGATCCCCCTCAGAAAAAACTTTTCTGAGGAGGGTTATGAAATCTTTTTTACCTTGCAATCTCTTACCATTCCGGGATTTTTCAGAGTTCAAGGTCAAAAACCCACGCTCCACTGTGGACACTTTTTTCAAATATACTTCAAGCTAGAGATCTCTGGATGGTTTAATTTCAAACTAGACACCTAACTGCGTGGACTGATTGGACCAGATTTTTTATTTAGATTTTTGTTCGTTTTCTAGAGATCCAAGATCCTCAAAAACCCAAAAAATCCTTTCAAGCTTTTCACAGATCCTTGATTTTCTAGAAAACTAAGGTCTAGCTTAAAAATATGGTCCCATCAGTCCACGCAGTTAGGTGTCTAGTTTGAAATTAAACCAACCCGAGATCTCTAGCTTGAAGTATATTTAAAAAAAGTGTCCCACGCTGGGCATGTTTGAACAAAAACGTGTTTTGAGACTAAACGCTGTGCATTGGTCGGTCTATTTTAGGACATGTAGGAAAATGCTTGTAATTTTTGAATGCAAGATCACACAGAGTTGTGCAACGTCTTATTTTGATCAGAAAAGTCTGCTCTATAAATCCACGTATTTAGAAAAAATTTACTTGCGTAAGTGTCCAGAAAAAAATGATTATTTGAAGACTCTGATTTTCAAGGCTTCTAGAAAACTTGCTCGAAAACCACGAAAAACCAGTTCTAGGTCCGAAAGCGATCCAGATTCTGAAAGCAGACATTTCAGGCTATCTTTCCATGGGCTTGTCTCAAAACTGACGTTTTGATACAAAAAGATATCATTCTGAGGGGGGCCCTTAATTCTCTACAAAATTGCATATAGGAGATGATCCTGAGACTTGAGATTTCGTCTTAATTGAAGAGAAATCCAAATGCGGCAAGAAAAATCCTGAAATTTTTCTTCTTTCACTTGGGACATGGGTTTCAAAATTCAAAATCATCGTCGAAAAATTTTTGATCTTTTGAAACTTTCAAAAGATCAATTAATTACGTTGCCTAATTTGATACATTTCGATAAACTAGCGACATACAATGCGTCGGCGACCTGATGATTGACCCATCGTTTAACGGAAAACTGATATCATTGAGGATAATTCTTTCTGGATCGTACCAACAGCTTGGTGCAAACGTAGGGACCCACCTCAAAATGAGAGGTCTCCGAGTTCTCCATGACTGTTCTTCATCGAACTGCGCTCAATTTACTTAAGGCCTTACACACAGTAAAGTGATTGAAATTTTCAAAAACAGACAAATACCTTTGGGGCCTGTACTAAATTGAGTGCAGTTCGATGAAGAATAGTCATGAAGAACTCGGAGACCTCTCATTTTGTTCAGAAATGTTTGTTCTATCGGATGAAGCTGTCTGCAAGAAGTATTTGGTCAAACACAGAGAGCTGGTTTTGAGGTCTTGGTGTCCAGAAACCCTTTCTTAGCCTACGTGCCGATGTTAGAATTGTTTTTGACTACAATATTCTTGTTCAGAATTGAATTCTCTTTCGAATGAGGTAGGTCCCTACGTTTGCACCAAGCTGTTGGTACGATCCAGAAAGAATTATCCTCAATGATATCAGTTTTCGATTAAACGATGGGTCAAATTCCTTCATTTAACTTCCTAACTACACTTATCTTACTCAGTTTTTGATGCTCTTTCGAACGGCTTGACCAGAATTTTTTTTCACCCATCCAATCTCGAGATTCCGAGGTCACACTGAAAAGTATTGCACTTTTGGCTTAAAGTCGCGTTTTCATCCTAAGGAAAACTCTTTTCAAAATTACTTTTTTACCGAAATGTAGCTGGCGCTCTCCTCTATCGATTGATGTAGTCTTCATATTTTGTCGATGCTTAATACAGCGTAAAAAGAGGTTTTTATAAACTGTACGGAAAATTTTTGCTTTTCTCTTTTTCATTTTTGCAATTCAGGCTTTTTGAAATAAAAAATAAATGATTGTTGTTTGCATGCAATTGCTATTATTTTGAAGGTTCTCAACTCAGGTACTACTATACCAAAATTTTCAGCTCACCCGAAGCGATCGAATGCGAATGTGGTGGAAATGGGAATACTCAATCAGACGGTGGAAGTATTCTGAAGAACTAGTTAGACTGCGTGATATTTGAGTATAATCGAGTGAATTGCAGCACTTGAAAAATTGTGCATTGTGTTTACGCTTGATCCGGCTGAGCGCGATCTTGAGCTGTAGTGCTTAAATAAGAGCATTTCATTAAGACCATTCTAATATAGTCTTTGCGTTAATCTGCACTGAATCATCATCCATCCAGTGCTACCTTCTCCACCTCCGCCTCATGGTAGGTTTGATCTATGTTCCTCTGTCTCGTGTTAAAAAGCTCAGAAATTTAACGATCACTCAATTATTTCTTATGTCTTTCTTACAAATCAAGCCAATATAACAAATATCAGTTACAAGGAATGAAATCATTATATAACATGAATAAACGAACAAAAAACCAATTAGACGCTTTTCTGAGTTTTAATCTTTGACTTTCTTCTTTTTCATGTAACACATTCTTCATCTCTTTTCACATTTCCGGAATGAGTTTAAGAGCAATAAAATTTAAAAAGAAAGTCAAGCCCTAAAAGATTTCTGTGAAATGTCATTAGTCGTCAGTTCGAAAAGTGCAAGTTTTGTAGAGGATGCGGAAATGACATTCATCCCTTCTATTGCTGAGTGTATCTCACCTTAAAAATATGTTACTTTGAAGTCGAGAATAACGATGGCTAAATGATGCGATAAATACTTCTGGAAGTCTCAATACTATCGGAGAGCTTTTCCACCGTAAAAGATTCATAGAAAACATAGTACTTAAAGATGCTTCAGTCAACGGACTAAGTGGAACATCGATGAGCGTTACTTCTCTCTTGCGCAAACAAAAGTGCACATACATGTGCCGAAAAGTTCAGAATCATTAGCGCAAATTCGACTTTATAAGGGGAACAGAATCGGTCCAAACTTTTTTTCTGAAGAGCTTATTATATGAATCGACGGGCAGCAAAGCATCTCTTGATTCAAATCACTTTTCGTCTTTTGCCGCGAATAGTAGTGGCGCCACTTAAAACGCACTACTATTCGCGCCAAAAGGCGAAAAGTGATTTGAATCAAGAGATGCTTTGCTGCCCGTCGATTCATATAATAAGCTCTTCAAAAAAAGATTTGGACCGATTCTGTTCCCCGTATAAAAAGTTGATTTTGCGCTAATGGAAAAACGGAGCTTATACTGTTTTAAAAACCATATGTGCATAAAGACGTACACACAGACGCGAACGCCATTTTTTTTACAGAAGTAGATGCTGGGATATGACTGCTACTCGGACAAAATTCTGGTGCGAATTTAATATTATATAAGATACTTAGCTACTGTCAAAAAGTGATAAAATACTTCTAAATGAAATCTTATGCATTTATATTCTTATGCGGACGTCTTATGTCATCCTTATAGACTCTCATAAAAATTGTGTGGAGAAATCATTACTTCCATACAGAGTTCATATAAAATATAAATAAATTTGCCGGTAACCCCAACTGCTACCCAGCGGATGAACACACGCGCATACACAGTAAATTATTTTTAGACTTCAACTTCCAGTAAAGGGTACAGACAATGTAAGATCCAACTCTCACTCTCTTGTTTATTTGAAACAAGTGAATGGCTATATATAATACACTAGATGAGCAAGAGTTTTGCAAGAATTGTGCAGGAACAGACAGAGTTAGGAAAACCACAGGATGAAATAAGAGTTGTGTGAGGATGGTACAAGAGTAGAATCTTATGAGCTGCCGGGGACAGCAGTTCATAACAGACAATCAGCCCACTTCTTAGGATGACTTGGAAGTCTCAGTCTGACATCAGCACACTATAAACGATCTATATTCAAAAATTAATGGCGGAATAATTGGGCTGTGTAGAACTGTTATCTTTCACGGAATTTACTCAGTAAAGTGATAGACTGAGCTAATATTCATACAAGTGCAGTTTCCCAAGCAAAAGAAAAACTAGATAAGCCAGCTCAAGATAAGTAAAGCAGTATTGCAGTCTAACGCTACATTTAATGCTCTTACCAGGATACATCAAATAAGCTTTTGGATAATAATTGGCGCCAATATAAAGCAAATATCTAAATTGTACGATTTCTTAATTAGCATAGAAACTTCAAAACTAATCAATTCATACACTTACGGTATATGAGAGATGACGAGAGCCCATTTTAACCCAAATATGGCAATTATAGGATGTGGCAAAAATATTGAGGAAACAATAAGAGTTCCAGATACAATCGACAATGAATTAACACCAACCTGCGCTTCAGTATTCAATGAACTTTGTAAGCTGCCAATCGCACCGATAACCGATTGTAGAAGAAACGCAACACATATAATTATTAAGTTTTTGTAAGTAGTCAACTGGAATTTTCTTTGATTTCTTTTATTTTCTTCAGTGGTTGGATCAAGTTGAGCTACTTTTTCAAGATGTAGTTTTAATTCAAGAGCAGATATAGATGGAGGAAGAACATCCTGATTAATATTTTCAGTCGCATCGAATTGGGAATAATCGACAATAGAATGACGATAACTATCGGCACCTGCTAAAGCCATAACCAGCAAGATAAATATACGATAGATCAAACAGATAAAATGCAATATCTACGATAATGATGTTTGTTAGCAGATGCGTTTAGTTCAAATAAGTAGAGAAAAAGATCGTACCGTATCGCAGAAAAATCGTTTCATATATAAAGGACAGAAGTAGAGTACAAGGAAACCACGAAAGTCTCAAATCTGAATAAATCTTTTTTCAATAAGTACGCCAGTTGTTTTTCAACAAATTTCTTGGCTGTTCCATCATCTCGTTATTTTACGTACAACGAAAACAAGAATTTTTATATCAAAATTAAAGCATGCCTGTCTGTTT